GACTAGAAAGTCACACAGATCTACGGCACACTGTAAATTAGCTTTCAGGGACTCAATCTTGGCTCATAACAAGGAAGTCTGTTGTTGATTTAGTGGCCATAGAACATCTCAACTAGTAGAAGCTAACTGTTAGCATTATCAACTCCATAATACAGCAGAACTCCTTTAGGCTTGTGTTATTTCTGTAGATAAAACATCAGCGTTGCAAAGCAAACTGTGGTAGAGTTGCATTCCTGTTAGCCAATCAGAGGCTAGATCTCCAAATATTAGGAAATAAAACTCCAATTCCTGTTGTTTGTAGCTCAACTCTCGACTGGCTCACTTCTAGTTCCTGAAACAGGAGCATCAAATCTGTTTTCCTAGAGATCGACTCACAGTGTGTTTGTTTATACTAAAAAAACACTAGTCTGGTTACACACAGGCAGAGAAGCACATAATGGATGGGACTAGCCAGCTCAAAAATAACCAATCAGAAAAAAGGCAGAAAGGCCAACTGTACTGCGCAACTTTGTTTTTTAGCTGTAGTCAAAATGGCGTCTGACAACGGCGCAAACATCTTTCTTCAGAAGACGGGCTTTTAGCGCCTCTTCTTGTGGTGTTAAAGACATGTATAAGTCATTTAGAACAGAGCTTGGTTAGAATTCTCAGGGGATGGGGTTATTTACATAGGAGAGTTCCCAGCCCCGGCTGGCCAGACCCAAAAAAAAAAAAACACTGCAAATATATTGAAAAAACTAGTGAACTTTGTCTTTAAAGACAATTTTTGACCATTTGAAGTGTGATTCTGCATGAAACATATAAGTAGCGTTTATCCCTCTCTCATTGTCGGCAGCTTTCTGAACAGAATCTTGCTAGAAATATGGAGTTTACAATCAAAATGGGATATGGTAGAAATGGATAGCCGTAACCCTTCAATTGTACCTCTTTTTGATTCTAAAAAAATTATTTTTTTCTCGTTCGTGACATTGAAGCTTTTTCAATGCCTCCTTTTAATAAAAATCATATAAACTTACAACCTCTGTTGAACTCTATTATCTCCTTTATTTTCTCACTTCACCATCTATTCGTAACTAATTTGTAACTAACTTTTTCTGCCTCTTGGCCAGGACTCCCTTGAAAATGAGGTTTTTAATCTCAATGGGACCTTCCTGGTTAATTAAAGAATAAATAAATAATATTTTTATTTTATTCCATATTTCCCTCTCTCATAGCTCCTCAGAAGGATTTGAAAAATAAATGTCTATGGATCATCCTGGTAAACATGTTTACTGGGACAGATACTGCTGCCTTCTCACATCGAAGCATGTAAACAACAAGAGTACATGCAAAATGTGCAACACGACACTTCAGCATGCATCACGCAGTGTTCAGTCATCAGCTGATGGGTCAGTCATGCAGGTGAAAGAACAAACATCAAATAAAATGATGCATTCATGCTGCAGCATCACATGAAAGCAACCCAAAACTTAAAACTAGTTGATTTTTTAAATTAAACAAAAACTGTATTATAATGAAATACTGTGTGATTTGTGCTGCGATTAAGATTTTTTTTTTTAAACAGAAAACTTTCTTTTTTGTGTGTTTAATCTGGCAGAATGATTGTTATATTCCAGCCGGTGCAAATTTTTAGCTCTAATTTCTGGCCATGTGACACCAGAAACCTCTGATTGGACGATACAAACATGCTTAAAAAGATTAATGATTTAGAGGATAAAGAAAACTGCTTCAGCTCATATTTACTTACATCCATTTATGACCAGTTTTTGTAACAATAATGCTACAAATGTAGCTTCTGCTATTGCGTTTGCATTTTTTTTTTTCATCTCAAAACTCCCTGTGTAGCTCTTGGGGTCCCGATCCCAACTTTGGGATCCACTGTTCTAGACTAATGTTAATATTTAATAAAGGCGTTTAATTATTTTCCTGCTATCTCCAGTCTACTGTAATATCTGGACACAGCTCTGGGCTTTGTGACTGAACTCATGAAGAGTAAGTTCACCACCATGTGGACAGAATAATAAGAGCATTCCTTCCATGATCTTAATAAGTGATTCCCAACATTTTTTCCTTGAGGACCCCCAAAACAGAATACACATATTCAAACATTAAAGGTTATTAATTACAAACATTATACTGACATACTGAGTTTTGGTTATACTATTGGGTGTGTTATTGGGATTTTAAAAATGTATTTTTCATTTTTAAAAAAATCTTCGTAACCCCACACCTCTGCAATCTTATTGGTGTAACAGGGTGAGCAACCGGTCACTGTATCCCGATTGATCATGCGCCCTGGCTACTTGGCCACGGATGTCACTTGGGCTGATCTGGTTAAGGTGTATGACTCTCATCCGGGAGTCTAGGGATCGAATCCCGCCCGGGCCCTCGTTTCTCCACCTTGCTATATTTGGCATAGTTGGCAGGATCCAAGTAGCACTGTGAAGTAGGTCCATGAATTTGAAATTTGTGGCATCCTGCGTGGGAGCACTGGGACATGCTTGTGAAAGGGGGGGGGGGAGATGGGGCTGACAGGGTAAGTGTCCTGTCACTGTATCCCGATTGATCGTGCGCCCTGGCTACTTGGCCAAGGGGATATCCCTATGGCTGACTGGTTAGCACACATGGCTATCACCTGGGGATCGAATCCTGCCCAGGCCCTCGTTTCTTCACCTTGCCACATTGGGACCCCGATGGGGTTCATGGACCCAAGATTGGGAACCACTGATCTAAATAAAAACTTGCTGCTATAAAAGCTTCCACTGTCTTCATTGGGCTTTCTACAATCTACTAAACAATTAGTCTCAAAATCATCACTTTTTGTTGGATCAAACTCGGACGGTTGTCTTTACCCTCAGCAGGACAAACACTTCACGTGATGAATCTCCTCTGAACATGTCGATGTGTTCAAGCAACAGTTTTTATGTCTCAAGTCTTAAAATCTGAATGGATTTTAACGAAAGTCAGATATGAGTCATTAGATGTTTGTTGACATCTGATTAACTTTTGGAGTCAGCCCCATTCAAGATGGCTGCCATAGATTAAAAAAAGACCATTTTCCAAAAAGATCAAGAACAGAACAATAAAAAATGAATACAAGTGGACGGGGCTGTAAAAGCTACTTTGTAATTTGCTTAGCCTGAGTCACACATGTTGTACTTAAGTTTAAATGAAAATAAATTATGCAGGTTTTGACTATGTACTTTCAGATTTGTTGCCATTTTCTACTTCGTGTCCTGTTTGATGACATCAATATGGTGAGACGAACATTTGTAGTTCTATGTCTTTTCACACAAAACAGAATATAATTTTTGCTGTCATTTAAAAAACTGGTACTTTCTCTGCATCAAAATGTGTCTAATTCAGACATCGTATGTGAAATCCATGGCACACACAGTGGCACACCAAAGGGGTGCCCAGGGCCACACCTATGAAATTGCTGGCCACCCCACTAGTCACACCAGAGGGGACCAATGTTCAATCATATTAATGTTCACACAAACTACATATACACATATTTAATCACACAGAAAGATAAATCCAATAAAAAAATACAATTAAGAGTAAATAATGACTTGCATTCATTTTTTTTTTATTTCCAGGGACCCATGGTCCAGAAGTAGATGGGCGTGGCTTAGGTTCCCTATCGGGTTATTCTGAGATGTTATGGCTTTATAATGAATGTTATTTATTTACAGCTAACTGCTTCTGAAGAGAACAATTTTCTTTCATTCAAGTTTATTTATATAGCGCCAAATCAGGACAAGAGTCACCTCAAGGCACTTCACACAGTAAACATTCTAATACAGGTCAGTTCATTAAACCAATCAGTAAAATGTTTCCTATATAAGGAACCCAGCAAATTGCATCGAGTCACTGACTAGTATCAGTGACTTTACAGCAATCCTCATACTAAGCAAGCATTTTGCGACAGTGTAGAGGAAAACTCCCTTTTAACAGGAAGAAACCTCCAGAGGATCCTGGCTCAGTATAAGCAGCCATCCACCACGACTCACTGGGGATGAAGAAGACAGCGCAGACACACACACACACGGAGGCATGTTGGAGGCAGGGCAAGGGAGAGCAGTCTTTACAGACTGTATTCTCCACCCTGTGCAGATCTGGGCTAACATCAGATTTTAACCATAGGCCCTATCAAATAAAAATGCTTTAAGCCATGTCTGCCTCATGGACTAAAGTTGGGAGCTGGTTTAGAAACCATGTAGGATTTCAGTTTTGATTTAGCTGAAATTGTTTAGATTTGACTCATTAAGCTTAACATTCATTTTTTCTCCAGAATAATCTGATTCTCACCCAGTGATTGTGACCATTTGTATGTTTTAAGACATTTAGTTTTTAAATAATTTTTTTTACAAATTGTGACAAAGGCTGATAGCTCTTCCGCACTGCTTTAAGTAATTTCCTTTTCATTTCTAAATGAACAAGCGCTCAATTTAAATCTACAATGTGTAGGTCTTAGTTAATCTCTGAAAATATCCATTCAATTGTTGAAAATTATTGGCAGCTTTGCAACATAAAACCATAAAAATCTGGTCTAAAATCCATGGGAGAGGGTCCAAGTCTCCGGGCGACGCCATGTTTCCTTCTACAGAAGCCCGTGAGAACAAAATGCATTTACTGATTTGTTACAAGTGGTTACAAAACTTTCACCATTCATAAATGTTGTTTTACACATTTACTTCTTTACTCGTTGCCAGTGATAAAAGGAAGTTTGATGTGTTAGTCATTTTGCTGGAGGTTGTGCTCCCAGAGATATTGACCCTAATGGCCATCCATTGGTAAGGTCTTACTTGAATACAAAAATACCACTTGATTGTAATGATTTTGGTTTGTACTGCCCCCTATCGCCAGGAGAAAAAAAAACACAACGTCACTTTAACCTACACTGCTTCACACATCTGTGTTTTTGTAATTAGTTTTAAAAAGTTTCTCTGAAAAACTAAAGTGTTTGTTTAAACTGCCTTCATTCATTCATGAGCAGATTGTTCACACGGAAATTTTTATTTCACTTTCTGAACATGACTCCATTTTTAACAAAAGAACAAAATGATGCTTTAAACCAAGTTTCCAGTTTATGCACATCTTTGCAGGATTTTTTTAAAACAACCTATATCGAAAGTAAATAATTGATCACAAAACATCAAACACACAATGGGGAGAACAAAAACGTCATTTGATTCCTAGATGAGCTATACAGCACGCTGCTCCAACCCTGTGTAAAAATCGCTCTTAAAAAAGACGTTATTTTGACAGAAATCTCTTTTTCAAAACTTAAAAAACTGTTATATGCTTTGACATCACTGTTTCTTTCCACTGTGTGGCAAATAATGTGACCTTGACGACTGACAGCAGCTCAGGAAATTGAAGAGAATAAAAATTGGGAAAATAAATTTTTTTCTATTCAGAGGTAAAAAAAAATAAAATAAAAAAACTCATGCCAGGAGGTTCAGCTCCTTTCCCATCACAAATCCTATTTTTCTTCTGCAAAAAAAAAAAAAAAAAAAAACACCATTAATAAAAACAAATGACCAAACAACATTTTGTAAAGATCTGGAGATGGAAGCATCACACAATCTAGTTTAAACTCAACTTACCGAGAGGATTTTAGGGATGGCATGAACATTAGAAGGGTTTACAGTAAAAATCTGTAGATGACAGCAAAAAAAGCAAACCGGAGCGTACAAACCAAAAACATATCCGATCTTCTAGTGTCTGACTGTTTGCAGAACCAGGAAACATTTCTATATTTCATTCCAAAAGAAAAAATGTAAACAGAGGAGAAATTCACCTATGAAGGTTAAATTCAACAAAGTGGGTCAGATGTGTTGGCAGATAGCCTCGCTTTGACTGGGAGACAGGAAACCAGCTAAAGCACCCTCCTGGTTTAGATCGACTCATTTGTTCTCAGGATAAAATCGGTGCACGTCCTCTTTTCTAATCGTTTCCATGCGAAAGTTGTGGCCAAAGAAAAGCAGCGTACTGTGGCTGGGAAAGATGGAGAAACAGAGCTACAGGAGAAATGTTTGAGGAACTACGCTGTGACTAAACATCAAAGCAACTGCTGACATTCAAATAGAAAGGTTGTCTCTGCTTTCGTTATATGATGAGTTTGAGGTCCATTAAAAAGTTGGAAAATCCTGCGCCGGGATACAGAGCAAAAGGGGCATTGTCTTTAAAGCAATAGTTCAAATTGTGAGTTTTTGTAAAACAGTTACAAATATAAATATGAACAGCATCTGTTTGGGGAAATAGAGATTACCAATAGCCAGACTGATAAGCTAATGGCTAGGCGAAGCTGGGCCAAAAGCAAAATAGATTTTGATAATCTTAATAGAACTTTTGAGGTGTAATAGGTCCAGCTTTTACTTTTTACAAGCATGATCTAAGCATGTTTAGTTTTTCTGTCTGCTAAAATATTTTTTAAAAACTAGACAAAATTTAGTTTGAACCAGTTGTCATTTAGCAAACTTACAGAAATGTGTTTCCGTTTTTAGATTTGGAGGGGAATGGATGATCTTTTCTCTACTGAAGGAAGATATTAATTTGTCTAATTGTTGTAATACTTCACATAACCCAGCCTTGGTGTACACCCATCGCTGTGTTGGTTCAGAACAGAAGCAAAGCCAAACAGGCATTCCTTTGAGCGTGCAGCTGCATCACCACTGGACCTCTACTAACATCTGTATTTCACTGATTACAAAGCTTGCTTCTTTAAAGAAAAATAAAACACAAGCCAAAAAGTTCAGCTGCAAACTGAGGAGATGCTCCAGGGTCCAGGTGTACATGACGGCTACACTGAGGAGAGTCAGACAGGAGCTGAAGGTAGATGAGTGCTGATGAATCATTAATGTGTTAAAGGGGGGCTGGTTGGAGAGAGCCGAGCCAAGTCCTGACTCAAGCCTCTGTAGTCCAATCTGGTCCAGCCTCAAGTGTACTGGAACTGCTCTGAAAACTCGGTGTACTCTGGAGCGTACTGGTCGTTGCTTTCAAACTGGCCTTCTTCAGCTCCATACTGGGAATCCTCTGGTGCATACTGGTCTTCTTCTGCTGCATACTGCTCATCTGCAGCAGTGTACTGGTCCTCCACAGGCATGAACTGGTTCTCATCACCTTGTGATTGTTCTGCTGGTTGCTGGTTCTCTGAGGTCTTCACGAATGATTTCTTTGCTCTGAAAAACAAGTTTTAAAGTATTTTGTATTTTAAATTGTAATAAAAAGTTGAACATATTGAAAATTCATTGGTAAATAACAGCATGAATATAAAAATCCTGTTAAAGTGGCTAAATTGTTTTTTTTTCTCAGATGACACCATCTAGGGGAAAAAAATTATATATACCGTATTTTCCGGACTATAAGTCGCCCCTTTTTCATAGTCTGGCTGGTCCTGCGACTTATACTACGGAGCGACTTATATACCAAATTATGTATACTGCGCTGCTGCGGACTGGCTCTGGACCAAGAATAAGCTCCTCTGCCCCGCCATCACCTGCTGGAGACCGTGGTGAGTAGAGCTGAAACAACTACCGTAAATCCTCTAATACAGGCCCGGGCCTGTATTTGACTCAAGCTAATCAAGCTCCAGGCCTTTATTGGAAGGAGGGCCAGAATTAGAGGCAGGCCTCTATTTCTATTTGAGCAAAATGAACTAATGGTTCGCTGGAGTTTTTGACAATTAAAATTGCGCCCACATTTTCAAAGTTAAACACATTTCTTTTAACAACGGTAGTTTCTGCTTCAGCCCTCTCCCCCCTCCCCCTGCGCAGCGGCCGCAAACTCACTGATGCGCCTGCAGCCTCTTGGAGTTCCTGCTGCTCTAAACATTAAAATAATTATTTCATTTTCTGTTCCTCACTTCTGATTACCTTCAATGGTGTCTGTTTGTTGCAACCACCAGGTACAAAAACTAACTTGTTTTTATTTGACTATTTTTCTGTCCTGCCTGTTAATTATCTTCCTGCATCTCCTCTCAATCCTAAAGAAAAACTGCTACTTGGGTTCATATATATTCACCTTCCTTATGAGTTACCTTTGAACTGCAGTTCTAAAAGATCTACCGACCGCAAAAACAGCGGAGTGCCGCTGCTCGCCGGCCGACTACAATGGGAGCGTTTTTGCTGCGGAGTTCGTGCCGGAGCGGAGATAGTGGAATTTTGGGGGTGCGTCACCGGAGGACAAAACAGGTGATGCGCCTCGCTCCGCAGCAGCGAAACGCATCAGGCACAAATAACTGACAGAAAACATTAAAGGAAATGAGCCGACATGAACGATCGCGTGTTTAATTTGTTTTTGAGGTGGAGACACCTGATTTGGCAGTGCTCAGGACGCAGATGTCTGGAGCGCGTCAACGATCAGAGCTTTGCATGCGCAAACTGGTTAAGATTAGGATGGGAGTGAGGGGAAGGTAAAATTGCAAGAGGGAAAAGGTCACAGTTTGGTTAAATGTCCGTTTTACCGCCAGTGTCAGTGCCGACGCTCTGGCACAGCGCGTCGCCTCCGCCTCCCGATGCGCAGGGGCTCATCACCTGCTGTCTTTTCCGTGGACTGCATCTTGTCAGTCATTATCACCTGACAGCGACTAGTCGATGACAGGCATAAAAAGTCACTACAGAGCCATGAAGTCGACTAGTCGACTAGTTCATACAACCCCTAATGCCAACAAACCAGAATTAGTTATGTAATAAGCCTAAGGATTTGGCAATTTTACCTTTTATGTAACTAATATGTGATTTCCATGTCAAGTCTTCATCAATAAAAACTCCACGACATTTAGTTTCTTTTACTCTTTGAATTTCAATCCCATCTATTTCCAATGAGTTTTGATGCCTTCAGTGAGAATCTCCCAATGTAAATGGTCATGAAAATAAAGACAACACATTGAATGAGACAGGTGTGTGTGTGTGTGTGTGTATATATATATATATATATATATATATATATATATATATATATATAATTTTTTAAAAGACTTAATTGTTTGTAGGAAATGTCCCCCACTCAGCATCGGTCTAGGTACTTTCTCAAACACTCATGTCTGCTCTGTGATTGACATCTGTACGTTAGCTGATGTCCAACACTGTTGGTTAATGCTTAGCGGCACTCAATTCAAATTGCATGGGGCTCTAGAGGATGGGGGACGAGCTTAGCAAAAATAAAAATGACGTAATGCCTGCATTACATCGTGGTATAGGGTAAGACTATAAATTATGGATTTTCAAATCAAAATTAGACATACAGTGCATCCAGCCTTTAATAAATTTGCAACAACTTCAAAGACACTTTTTTCCACATTATCATTATGGGTGTTGTGTGTTGAATTTTATGGGCAAAATGACTTTAATCCTTTTTGGAATGAGGGTGTAACATAAAGAAAAAAGTGGAATACTTTCCGGATGCACTGTAATTAGTGAAAATGTTTATGTTATGTTTATTTATTTGGCAGACGCTTTTATCCAAAGCGACTTACAATTTATAACCTATAGGGCATGTTGTGATCTGTGGGGGAAACCGGAGACCCCGGAGGAAACCCAGGCATGCATGGGGAGAACACGCAACTCCACGCAGAAAGGCCGCAGCCGAGTTTCGAACCTGCAACCTTCGTGCTGCGAGGCAACAGTGCTAACCACTGCGCCACCATGCAGCGAAAAGGGGGAAACTCTGAATTGCTGCTTTAACCATCCTGGGTTTACTCACTGGTTCTTGTGCCGAGCCCCACTGATGTGAGACTGGTACTGCTCCACAGAGTTCAGCACGATGTTACAGATGGTGCACGGGTAGCCGTTTAGCGTCGAAGCTACAAAAGCATAGACAATAGAAGGTTAAGCTGTGGTAAAGACTATGATCATTAACCTGTAAATTTGTGAAAAGTTTTTTTATTAATCAGGTAAACATATAATTAACCACATTTAAACGGATAAGATGAGACCATTAGCACCGACCTGGTGCGGTGGAGGGTCCGTATGTCTCAATCAGTTTAAGCCGAGTCATTTGTTTTTTATGCTTCTTGCCCACATAGTGCTGCTGGGCCATGAGCGGGTTGTTGAAGGAGGCCTTGCAGATAGAGCAGAAGCGGTCCGGGTTGTTGTTGTTGTCTGTGTTGGTGACCTCGCTCGACTTGTCAACAGGTTTCTCCTTCGGCTGTGCTGCCTGAGATGCCTCTGTTAGAAATAATTCATAAAAAACACAGTTTTGATACAAAAAGTGTGTGGAGTTCAAGAAAAACCCAGAATGGAAACAAAGAGGATGTTAATATTGCTAACAAACAAACCTGGAGTTTGAGTTTCAGCCATTTGCATTCTCAGCCTCTTGGCGTGAGTTTTTCCTTGATAGTGAGACTCGGCCATTACTGAAGATGTGAAAGTCATTGTACATAAATGACATGCCTTAAACCGATCCGTGTCCCCGTTGTTGCAATCCTAGTGGAACAAACACACATGACCTTATAAAATCCACATTTAAACGCTTTTCATAAGACACTTACTGGATAAAAAAACCATAAAACCAACATCGTAAATTGTGCTTCGTTTTTAAGATCTGCTCTTAATAAATTAACCATATAATTTAAAGTAGAGATGGACCGATATTGTTTTTTCTATTGCCAACACTGATATGTAGGAGATATGTTCAAGCAATGGCCGACATGTTATGCCGATTTTTATGGCCGATATCCAGATGTTGTCCACCTTATTTCCATACTAAAATGTCACTAATAACATCAGTTGATGCCCGAAGTTTCTGAAGCTGAATCAGTTTTTAAACTTTGAATTTAACTAACTGTTAAATCTTAACTTTGTGCACTCAGACACCTAAATAAAGTTAATTTAGAGGATTTTCTATGCAGATGTTTTTAGTGAACATAAAAATACATTCAAATTGAAATCTGCAACAGCACCAAGCTGTCCGAGGATGTGCCTGACTTTAAATCGGATTTACTAAGAACAAATATCTACCGATGCCAATTTCCATCCATCCATTTTCATCCGCTTATCCGGAGTCGGGTCGCGGGGGCAGTAGCTTAAGGCGAGAGGCCCAGACTTCCCTCTCCCCAGCCACTTGGGCCAGCTCCTCCGGGGGAATCCCAAGGCATTCCCTGGCCAGGTGAGAGACATTGTCCCTCCACCGTGTCCTGGGTCTACCTTTAGGTCTCCTCCCGGTTGGACGTGCTCGGAAAACCTCACCAGGGAGGCGTCCAGGAGGCATCCTCGACTGGCTCCTCTCAATGTGGAGGAGCAGCAGGTCTACTCCGAACCCCTCCTGAATGGCCGAGCTTCTCACCCTATCTCTAAGGGAGATACCAGCCACTCTTCGGCGAAAACTCAGTTCGGCCGCTTGTATCCGCGATCTCGTTCTTTCGGTCACTACCCAAAGCTCATGACCATAGGTGAGGGTAGGAACGTAGATCGACCGGTAAATCGAGAGCTTCGGCTTCTAACTCAGCTCTCTCTTCACCACGACAGACCGGTACAACGCCCGCATCACTGCAGATGCAGCACCAATCCGCCTATCGAACTCACGCTCCAGTTTTCCCTCACTCGTGAACAAGACCACAAGATACTTAAACTCCTCCACTTGGGGCAGGACCTCATCCCTGACCCGGAGAAGGCATTCTACCCTTTTCTGAATCAAGACCATGGTCTCAGATTTTGAGGAGCTGATTCTCATCCCAGCTGCTTCAAACTCGGCTGCGAACCGCTCCAGCGAAAGCTGAAGATCACGTTCTGATGAAGCCAACAGGACCCCATCATCTGCAAAAAGCAGAGACCTGATCCTCAGGCCATCAAAATGGATGCTCTCCACACCTTGGCTGCGCTTAGAAATCCTGTCCATAAAGGTTATGAACAGAATCAGTGACAAAGGGCAGCCTTGGCGGAGTCCAACTCTCACTGGGAACGAGCCCGACTTACTGCCGGTGTCGGTACAAGATCGGCTCGGGGTCCTTCGACTGCCGATGACGTCAAAGTACGGCAAACCCACTCGGACAAAATACACTACACATCTTTATGCTGTTGGAAAGAATTTAGCAGTTTCGTTATTAAAATACTGTTTCTTAAGACGTAAGATTGTGTTTATAATGGTATTTGTAAAATAAAACACTATATTTTATTCATAATGTTGAACTCCTCTTTGAGCACATCCCTTGAAGGATCATAGGTATTAGCAACACCTGTGAAATTGTATTTGCAGGAAAGAAGTGTGTCCCGTTTATTGAAGTATTTTGTGTTTAGTTTTGACGTCTTGTCCATGCGTAGTTCAGTTACGCTCATAGCTGCTAGCCAAAACCCTGGAGTTAAAAGTTTTCTGGCTTTACTAAAATATCTGTCTGTACTTATTTGATTGATGGTAGTTTTACTTTCTATTAGACTCCAAATGTAATCATTTGGCATGTTTCTAATTCATAATTTGTAAGAATGTAATCGGTGATATTAGCATTAGCATTCCTATGGGTTTTCCACGTATATTAGCATTGCGCTAACCACTCGCTGTCAAATTGCAGCCTTTGCGATTAGAAAATCTCCTTTTGTCACATCGCAATTTAATTGCACATGTAGTTAATCGTTCAGCCCTAATATACATGCAGCTCTATGCTAAAAGTGTATTTTAAAAGAGGTAATGATGGATTTCTTTGTAAAAGTTGTCCATCTTTCCAACAGAAAGATTTGCCTGGACCAGCGTAACGTGATAACAACGTAACGTGATTACGTAATTCCGTAAGGTTCATGTTCAGCCAATCAACTACTTTGACGTCATCGGCAGTCGACGGACCCCGAGCCGATCTTGCACCCGAGCAGATCCTGTACAGACATCGGAAATGCGGATCAAGCTCTGACACCGGTCATACAGGGACCTAACAGCCCGTATCAGAGGGCCTGGTAACCCATACTCCCGGAGTACCCCCCAAAGGGCCCCCCGAGGGACGCGGTCAAACGTCTTCTCCAAATCCACAAAACATATGTAGACTGGTTGGGCAAATTCCCACGCACCCTCCAGGATCCCCCTAAGGGTATAGAGCTGGTCCAGTGTTCCACGGCCAGGACGAAAACCACATTTGCTCCTCCTGAATCTGAGGTTAAACAATCCGACGGACCCTCCTCTCCAGAACCTCTGAATAGACCTTACCAGGAAGGCTCAGGAGTGCGATCCCCCTGTAGTTGGAAAACACCCTGCGGTCCCACTTTTTAAATAAGGGGACCACCACGCCGGTCTGCCAGCCTTAGGTGTGCAACAAAACAGGTAACGAAACCGGTTCTGTGTTTTAAAAAGAACGACAGCATGGGACATTTTAAAATTGCTAGCGAAACATTTTTTTCTCTCTATCCTTTGCAAAACATGATTAGAAAACAGTTCAATAGCATGAAAAACAAGCCATCACCTAAATATAACCATAATTAAACTACGATCAGTTAAATTTTATCTATTTCATTAACATGTTCAGCTACTGAAAATGCTAATAACATTTAATTTCTGCTGCTAAAAATGTAATGGTGACATACCTATAATGTAAAGGTTACAAATAATCCAGTTTAAATTATGTTAACAGATTGTCATGTTTGTGAATTACATGCTACAGTGGCTTGCCATAATCCTGCAGCGGTGCTGAGCAGAGCAGACTGAGCTGACTCCGTAGCGCTGCAGACAGCTCATAAACAGGATAATGGGGACGTTTCTTTCGCTTGTAGAGTTTAGATATTCTTAGTTTCAAGACCATTGTGTTTTTTTGGAACCCACTTGATCGTGAGCCTGCTACCTGATAGCATTAGCAAATCTGCCCGTAGTTACACTTTTGATCCCCAACTTTGGATCGTTTCTGCCTTTGTGTTTTTGCTGGTTTCTGTTTTCCTTCACAGCACCTAGATTAGTACATTGTGCGCCAGTAAAAAGCATCTTCTTTACACAATAACAACTAACTTTCCTTTGTTCAATAAAGTTCTGGGGAAAAAAAGTAACTTGACAAGATGTTTCATGAGTGCAAAGAGTGACAACGAGTCAGAAATTTCAATAACGATAAATTTTTGATTTATTGCCCAGCCCTACCTCCAAAAGAAAAAAAAGAGAGCAAGGTCTTTAAATACTTATTTTAATTTTTTTCCTCTCATTCATTTACTCTAAATTCTGGCAGGATGGGTGCTTCAAATCTAAAAGAAAAGAAATGTAAATTTTCTCTTTGATAAACCATAAAATAACTAATTTAACAAAACGGAAACAGATGAAACATGTATTTCTGCCACCGAATGAATCATGATGTGAAACCACAGTACTTCAATTTAGCAATATACAGTCCTGAGTAAAAAAAAATATTACTACATTATCACCTATCCCATTTTATGATACTTTCAATAATTTTTTATTTTATTTTTTTTCTTCTTGTGAAGCGCCTCGTGATTTTTATCTTGAGATATAAAAGATAATTTCTTCTTCTTCTATGAAAATGCCCACCCTTAACGTCTATTGAATGTTTCAATTTAACTCACATTGTCAGATGTCTTTTGCTTCTTAGTTGGACTGCCACTGTCCTCTTTCTCATTCTGAAGGGAAATGTAACGCCGCACCTTGTTGGCATGTTTCTTGCTCTGAAAGTGGGAAAAGAAAATCTTTGATAAGAACAAACATCCACAAAAATGGACAAATAATCTCATAATCTGGATAAATTTTAATTTGTCTTGTCAAAAATGTCTTCACGACCCATAAACTAGACTGATGCACGTCTTTACGGCACCCTCGAACGTGAGCGCGGCCCCTTGAGAGTAGGACTGCATCAGGGAATTCAGCGAACTGACCTGATAATGAGTCAACTTCTGAGATTCAGAAATTAGGGCAGCATTGCAGACATTGCACTTGGAGTCAGAAAACAGGTCACCATGCTCTTTTATCATCTTATTTACTGCAGAAAGAGAAAAGGAGAAAACAACAGATTGCATCTTCTGGGGGGAAATATCCTTATAACAAATGGTTTAAGAGCTATCTAAGAAAACACTGCATCTTACAAATGTATGGTCTTAAAACCACTTTAATTAAAATCACCCTGGAGAACCAGTTTCATCAGCAGGACCAAAAGCCTCCTGGATGCTTTTGCAGACATTTGCAATGCAAACACTTGCCAAAACACAGAAGCACATTTTTAGGCCCATCTGTGAGTCACAACTCTTGGATCATTTAATGCGAGAATATTTCTTCACCTTGATGCATCAAGTCCAAGGTGTGACACAGAAAACAGGTGGTGTTTTATAAAAATAGCCAGGATTCAGACGGCTTGGCTAAGGGTTTGTAAGAGCGTGAGACTTTTGTCCTGCAGAATGATCTCTAATAAAATAAAGAGCCCCTGCTTCTACAGGTTGAGATGCAGATGTGCACAAAATGTAAGTCTCGAACGCTGCTAGAGGTGTTAATAAGAATAGTTTAAGATTCAAATGTTTGATGTACTTCATGCAAAGTTTAGTTGCAATCCATCCTCAGAGAAGATCAAGCGTGACATGTCTGTCTCGTCTGAGAAGCTGATTTTACGCACACCAAATAACAGAAAAACACCGCCGTCCAACGACAGAACACAAGCTATAAACTGACCACAATCTAATTGTGCTTCTTCCAGACTCTATTAAGTCACAAAGCAAGAGAGCAGGAATCAGAAGGAGTCAGTAAAAACATCGGATGAAGAACTGCTCTCCTCGACCTTGGAGCAAAAGCGGCTATCGCTAGGTTAGCTTAGCACATTTTAGCAAACCGGCTAAATTTAGCTCAGGCGAAGCTAACAACAACGCTGGCTTTTAACGCCACAAACTCCAAGACTGCTGCTTTGATGCACTGACGTGATTCTATGTTAACATTTATATGAAATGAGTAAGGCAGATGTCCTACCCTCAGCCAGCCCTGTAGGTAAGTATGGAAAATCATCGGTTTGCATCGCATCCGCCATGATTTCAACGCACACTAGTGGTGTTCGAGTGCGCATGCGCAGCTGATCAGCTCCCAGATGGAAGTGTTTTGGATTCGAAACCCTTGTTTCCGATTCCCGGTTTCCAGAAAGGATGCACAAAACTAAAATCAGAGGTGTGACCAAGTCACTGCTTTGCAAGTCACGAGTAAGTCACAAGTCTTTCCAGTCATTTCCAGAAATTTCAAGTCATAATCAAGTCATCTGTCTCTGTTCATTGATTTAAAAAATATTTTGTTTTATGTTCAAATAATAATAATAATAATGCATTGAACTTATATAGCGCTTTTCAAGACGCTTTCACACACTCACATTCACACACTGCTAGTGATAGTAAGCTACTTGTAGCCACAGCTGCCCTGGGGCGGTCTGACAGAGGCGAAGCTGCCATTTGGTGCCGTCGGCCCCTCTGACCACCACCAACACAGGCAAGTTGAGTGAAGTGTCTTGCCCAAGGACACAACAGCAGGATACCCCTGGCGGGAGCTGGAATCAAACCCATGACCCTCCGATCATGAGGCAACCCGCTCTACCACCTGAGCTACTGCTGCCCCAAATAAATGTTTCAATCAATCAATCGATCAATCAGTCAATCAGTCAAGTCTCGAGTCAAGTCAAAAACAACCAAGTCCAAGTTGAGTCCAAAGTCAATGTTGTGGAAGTCCAAGTCAAGTCCAAGTCCTTAACTTAGAATTTTCAAGTCATAATCAAGTCATCTGTCCAACTTCAATTTAATGACAATGATAATAAATAAATTCTAGTAATAAATCTTCTTAAAGCTTAATTTATTTGCTCAAACAAGCAGAAAGTGCAACTGAAACTGATTCTAAACAAAGTAATGCTGCATTTTACAGTACAAGATCAAACCCAGAACCAAGAAGGATTTATGATTTTTGTCCATGTCGTGCCCCCCGCGACCCTACGTGGTCATTTCACTCCCCTCCGGCAAAGCTAAATTATGGGGCACTCCAGAATTGCAAAGGGACTCTGACATCTGTTACTCATACGAACAGGTGGTGTTTTATAAAAATAGCCAGGATTCAGACGGCTTGGGTTTTTGGTCCTGTCCTTCCTGGGTGTGAGGCAGCAAGGGGTCTTTTGAAATTAAAACAAAGGCCGGAGACGAGTGGCAGAGTACATCATTGATTTTCATACATGTGCTGCTGACAGTAACTGGAATGATGATGCTTTGTGTGACGTCTTTTATCAAGGTCTGAGCGAGGAGATTAAGGATGAACTCTCCTCTAGGGATGTCCCCGAAAGCCTGGAAGAACTAGGGGTTACGGCTCCAAGAAAGGAGGAGTGAATGGTTCAAGACATTTTCACTACCCCGCAGAGACGGTGGGTACAGACCATTAACATCTTCATTTCCTGCTGCCCCAATCTCCCCACCAATCCCAGAGGGATCTGAGCCAATGCAGATCGGCTGGAGCAGGCTGTCAGAGAAGGAACGTGAGGAGGTAAAAGGATGACCTCTGTTTTTATTGTGGCAAAGAGGGACACCAAGCCCAAGCTTGCCCATTAAAAGACCAAGCTCATTAGGAGGTAAGAGGCTTCTTCTGAGCCATCAGTGCACTACTAAACCCTCTTTTCTGCCACCACTACAGGCTATCCTCCAACTTCAAGGACAGGAACACAAACTGCCGGTTTTTGTGGATTCAGGGGCTGATGCAGACTTAATTGACATGACCCTCGTTTCTGCTCTCAAGATAAGCCTTGCACCCCTTGGACGTGTTCAGGAGGTCCGAGCCATCGATCGTCACCTGCTCCACAAGGTTACTCACACCACAGAACCCATTAAAGTCACGGTTGGGGGTAACCATCATGAAAGTATCAAGTTTCTGGTTATCAGAACACCTGAGTTACCAATGATTCTTGGCGCACTGTGGCTAAAGCTTCACAATCCTCATCTGGACTGGACAATGGGAGAAATTCTTGGGTGGGGCAAAGACTGTCCTGCCATGTGTCTGTCCCATGCTGAGGCCCCTCGCCCCTTTTCTGATGGAATCCAAGAGACTTATCCCGATCTGAGCAAAGTACCCCCTGAATACCATGATCTCAAGGAAGCTTTCAATAAACACAAAGCCACGGCTCTTCCACCTCACAGTCGTCACGACTGTGTTATAGACACAGGTGGCACCTCCCCACCACGGGGATGTCTGTACTCCCTCTCAGGGCCTGAGAACAAAGCCATGCAGGGGTACATCAGTGACTCTCTTAAAGGTGGTCTTATTCGCCCTTCTTCCTCACCTGCTGGTGCAGGATTTTTTTTTGTGGGGAAGAAGGATGGCTCTCTACACCCCTGTATTGATTACAGGGGGCTTAATGACATCACTATAAAGAGTCGGTACCCTCTTCCCCTTATGAATACTGCATTTGAGTTGCTGCAAGGGGCCAAGGTGTTTACTAAGTTGGACTTAAGTAATGATGCTTACCACTTAGTTAGGATCAGAGAGGGGGATGAGTGGAAAACTGCCTTCAACACACCCACAGGCCATTACGAGTATTTGGTCATGCTTTTCGGCCTCACCAATTCTCCCGCTGTCTTTCAAGCTCTGCTCAATGATGTGCTCAGAGACATGGTCGGGCATTATGTATTTGTGTACCTTGACGATATTCTTGTTTTCTCCAAGGACCTAACCTGTCACAGGAAGCATGTACGTTTTGTCATCCTCAGGCTCCTGCAGAACAACCTTTTCATCAAGGCAGAAAAGAGTGAATTTCACAAGACCACAGTCTCCTTCCTCGGATTTATCATAGCCCCTAATCAGGTTTCCATGGACCCTGCCAAGGTGTCCACAGTCCAAGATTGGCCCAAACTCAAGAACTGAAAACAGTTGCAGAGGTTTTTGGTTTTTGCCAACTTTTACCACCGCTTCATAAAGAACTACAGCTCTGTTGCAGTACCCCTCCATGCTCTCACATCTTCCAAGGTATCGTTCATGTGGTCTGGTAAAGCCAACCTCTCATTCACCCACCTCAAAACACTATTCACATCTGCTCCAGTTCTCTGCTCCCCTGATCCGGCTCTCCAGTTCATTGTGGAGGTTGATGCCTCCAATACAGGGGTAGGTGCTGTGTTAAGTCAATGTAATCCCTCTGATAATAAGGTCCACCCCTGTGCTTATTTCTCCAGGTGTCTGTCTTCATCTGAGCAAAACTATGACGTGGGTGACCGAGAATTGCTGGTGGTTAAACTGGCACTGGAGGAGTGGTGTCATTGGCTGGAGGGAGCAGAGCTCCTGTTCATTGTCTGGATGGACCATAGGAACCTTGAATACATTTAAAACGGCCAAGAGGCTAAATCCCAGACAGGCAAGGTGGGCCCTCTTCTTCAGTCGTTTTGCCTTCTCCCTCTCCTATCGACCAGGGTCCAAGAACAGTAAGCCTGATGCTTTATCCTGGATGCATGAGCAAACAGGGTCAACCCAAGCCTGTGGTGATGAAGATTACATTCTCCTTCAGTCTGTGAGGTTGGCAGTTTCTTGTCTGAGTCTGGAGAAGAAGATTGAGGAGGCACATCGTGACAATCCTGTTCCCAGAGAATGCCCAGCCAGCCGCCTTTTCGTTCCAGACCACCTAATCACTGAGGTACTGCTTTTCTGTCATTCCTCACGACTTTTCTGTCACCCGGGTATTACTAGGACCCCTGTTAGCGTGTGCAATTCTGTAAAAAAAAGAGGTAAACTTAAAATGAGTTCCCCCTCTATCTGCAGAATAAATGTTTTATTCTCATTATCATGTAATGCCGTTCCAACTAAAATAGCTTTAATTTCATATTTTGTCTGGCAATAAATTCCCAGAATGTCACATAATTCTATGTTACTGTAATAAAAAAAATTCCATTTTGTGATAGATACAAACATTTTAGCATTTCTCATTTCAGTTCATTCCACATAACATTTACAAATGTTTATTCTATTGTCAACATTTTTAATCAAACATCAAAAACTTTTTTTGTTTCTCAGTTTAAGATTAAACAAAATGAAAAATACAAAAATTCCGATTGCAGAAAAGACTAAATGTAATATTTTCAGATATGTACTGATTATAATTTTGTTTAATTATAAACTGTTGATCCTGTGAGATGTTCTAGATTAGTGGTGACTGAAATGTTGGGAATGCCACATATTTCCTCTGATTTGGTAACACCAGGAGGGCCTCTCCATTTCTGGTTTCATCTTTCACGATTTCCAGGAGGCTCTCGGCTACATCAGACGTACTAAATCAGAAAAGCACAGAAAACTCAATAATTATAAGTACAGACCAACAGAAGAACTCAATCAATAACATGAGGAAATACATGTGAAATAAAATGTTATGCCTACTATAGAAGCAGCATTTAGAATAAAAGTATCTTCTGGTACTGAGAAAATTAAGAAACAAGCAAACTCACGTTAAAATACCAATCTTTTCCATCATGACTCCCGTGGATTCACCAAGTTCACTGAATTGTCCCAGTCTATCTGGGATACCAGCCAAGAGGTCAGTCTGCACAAAACCTGGACAAATGGCATTGAACCGTATGCCATAACCCAGTCGATCAGAAGCACCCTGAAAGAGCAGAAATACACTTTATAAACTGTTTTCATTCAAAGAAGCTTAAAACATTCAGTTTTAAATTCTGTAGAACAATCTGTTCTAAGGAAAGAGCATTTCATTTATAATCTGCATCACTAGGATTAAAATCTGTCAAGGCATTCTGAACCTGTGTGACATTTTAGAGTCTGTGCTATAGGAGTCCCACAAGGTTCAGTTCTAGGGTTGCAGTTTTTCAGCTTTTACATCAATGATCATCAACTGTTGGGTGATGATGGTAAAGTCTCATTATACACAGATGACACTGTCATTTATACGTACAAAAATAAATCCGAGTGAGATTCAGACAAATTTTCATTTTGGCTTAAATCTCTATGTTTCGCCACAAAGAATAACAAAAAAATTTTCCTAATGGTTTCTGGCTGAAAGAGCAGCACCATAAAAACATATTGTTTGAACCCTTCTCCGTCTAAAATATAACATCACAAAGATGACTAATACACTGAATGAGAATGGAGCAGGGGGCTCCCACATGCGCACAGGGGACACACCCGGTGGGGTATATGCTGGATTCCTGGAGGGAATGGAAGATCATATGCCTCTCCCAGCTGTCCATTGAGGATGTCGAAGACTTGTTGATATTCAGCCTGATGATCACTGGATTTCTCCTGATTGGAGTGGGAGGATATCTGGTTTTCTGGAAATTTGGGAAGATGGGAGCAATTGGAGGGCGACCCACACCCATGGAAAGCACTGTCCGTGTGGAGACTTCACAGACTGGGACGTTACTTGAGGTGAATCGTAAGCTGGACACTGTTCTAGCTGCGATACCGGTATTAGTGCGCAAAATGGATGTCATCTCGGAGAGGGTCACCGGACGGTATGGACAAGTTTAAAAACCCAAATTGGCTTCACTGACGGACTGGAATGATCAGTTTAAAGACTGAAGGCAGAGTGGAAAATTATCTCAGTCTGACCCAAAGTCTTGTTATCCGAATCTGACGCCCTAGTAGCCTTGAGCGGCTCCACCCCCCATGAAGGAATGCTGACAGATGCTGTGAACCCCCCCCCCCCCCCCCCCGCCCCCCCGCCTTCGGATTGGTGGACTTCAGCCTGGCGAGGTCATCAACCTGCAGGAGTCAATGTGCTCTGCGCTTCTCCCAAAATCTCCCTCCCACCTGTGACTACAGTGGCTGAGCGCCATAGATGGCTGGGGGAAACAGGATCCCAGCCCCCCCCCCCCCCCCCCCCCCTTCCTACTGGAGTCTCATGTTATGTTGTGTTGTGTGAAGTCTGTGTGAAGTCTGTTGCATATCTGTTGAGGTGTTTTTTTGCAGAGCAAAGCTGCCCTCCTGGTGGGAGAGCTGTGAAGTGCCTTTTTTTCCCACCTCCCGAATCAATTCCTCATGTTACCCTTTCTCTCTATTAAGGTAGCGCGACTCGGGTTGCGAATGACCACAGTCACCAATTCCTGTCATGTGTCTTGCCCATGTATGTCTGATCTCTGAATTGTGTGTACTGAAACTAATTTCCCTCCGGGATTAATAAAGTATTGATTGATTTGATTGATTGAAAAATAAAGAAAAATCAGAAATGACCTTACTACTGAAAGAATCTGTAGTATATTTGATTGCTTTTGATCTAATCTCTGATCTAATATTGCATATTTGAAGAGTCGGGTAACTTTAAACAAGGAAAATTGGTTCAACCTTCAAACACTAAGCTATCATACCACGTTTGGGACTTGAGTCGTGTTTAAGTCATTAAAAACAATGACTCACAAGTTCAACTGGATCCATCAGGGACACCTGACTTGACCCGAGCCTCATTGACTTGGACTTGTCCATCACTTTAGACTTGACTAGGACTTGCACCTCAGAGACTTGAATTTTGACTTACCATCAAAAGACCCTAGACTGACTTGGAACTGTACCTCAGACACTTGAGACTTGACTTAGACTTCCACCCCAGAGACTTGGAGTGTTTTAACGCTCTAAAAACTCAAGACTTGACTTGGACTCTTGTGAACTTGAGACTTGAAATGCACCAACCAAAAAAATTCCAGAATGGACTTGGACTCTTGGCATCTACAGACTCAAGACCTGACATAAAAAACCTGAGAACATCTCTGATTGGCCTTCACTCAGGAGCCAATTTAGGGCAACCAGTTAACATGAAGTACAGACTCTTGTTTCTTTTGCAGCCTTATTCTTTCTGAGTTCAAACACAGAATTTCTCACAAAGAACGTCTAGAGTCTGTCTAAACACAAGTGACGTTTAAACACGCTACTGGAAAAGACATCAGAGACAACCTCTTCTTGTTGGCTTCCTGACTTACATTTCACCACACTTCATGGTAAAAACAAGATTAATCATGTGACACATTTAATGAAGTCGTAATTTTCTCAAGTTTTCTGTAAAGATTTGATCTTTGTGAGTTTCTTTACCCCCATGGCTCGAGTGAATCCGATCACTCCGAACTTGGTAGCTGTATAAGTGGGACAGGTCACAAATGGGCTGATACCTGAAAAACAGAAACCAAAGTCAGTCAGTGAAATTCATTGTTTACATTGACCACCTTCATTCTGGCGGAATAAGATCTTGTGATAACACTGGATGTGTTTACGACACATCTCACCTGAGTATTCTAATAAAGTTTGTTGTAAAAAATTGCCAGTCTGACTTTTAGTATCGCAATATCACACATCACACACATTTACACTTCTGAGATGATTACCATTGATGTCACATGACTAAAGCATTTTGCATTATTACCCCACAAACCATCGGAAACACATCCATAAACGGCAACAAGTTGGAAAAAATACCAGTTAACATCGGCCCAGTTTTATTTATACCGATAGGTTAGAAAATGACTAAATGACTAACATCGGCCAATACCGATATTGATGCCGATGCTTCGTGCATCTCAAGACTGAAATCATGAGAAAGGTCCCACATGATCTGTTTTCAGTGGTGCACCAGTTGTTGCAACCGTAGGCTGCAAAAAAACGGGCATAGTTGCTCAATCTGCATTGACTCTGGTTTGGAGAGTGAGGAACCCACCCAATATGGTGACAACACTGTTACGCTTTTCAGAGCCCAAGTGCGTGTCTATGCATTCATGTCACTGCCATACCTGCCATGGATGCCGTGTTGACGATGACCCCTCCTTGACCTCCCTTCAGCTTGCTCATGTGCTCCACAGCGATGTAAGCCACTCTGATGACACTCGTCTGGAACACAGAGGTCATGTCAAACAAAACATACATTTGCTTTTAAAAATTAACTTTCTGGTTGTCAAATAACATCTGGTTTAAGTGAAGTTTGTGGATCTTTCAGAGTATTTATTACAAGGTTTATGGAGACGGTTTTCTCCCACGAAGCCTCATTCAAGATGCCGGCATTGTTGCACAAGATGTCGATTCCTCCCAAAGTTTCTTTGGTTTTCTGAAAGGCAGCTTCGTAAAACAAAATAACAGCGCAGGGTTATAACTCAACCAAGCTTCATTTCATCCATCCACCAGATGGCATCAGTTGCCCTCTTTTACATAAGCAGCCACTAAAAGGTCTGTTGGTTTTCTGATTAAATTTAATATCTGCCTGAGCTTTTTTTCTTAGTTTCTAAAGAGCATGAAAGAAAAAAAGAACAGAGCAGAGAGTGTGTTACTTCTCTAACCTGCTTCTCGGGTAAATGTGCACACTCGATCTTGTTTTACAACAAATGCATGTAAATTCTCTGCAGGGCTTTATGGTGCATGAGGGGAAAAAAAGGCAAACAGGAAATAATAGAGACCAGCTGGCAGCTGCAACCAGCTTGGATGCATAAACAAATACTGATGTTGTAATGCACTTTTCTTTTCTTGAGAATTCATTGTCTTATTAATTTAATTACCTGAACAGGGTGCGGAGTATACCTTTCTACTCAGGAATAAATACAACTTGATTCGTACATTTTGTTTGCAATCATTTGTTTGTTTTTGACCTTTGTAGCATCTGTAAAGAGAACAGAAATCTTCTGTTCGGACAGGGTGGAACTAAAGTGTTTCACGAGTTTCCAGGCATGTTTACTTCAGGAAAATAACACCCAGAGCTCTGTGATTTCATCGCTGTCAGTTTCAGCCAAACTTTTCGTGTGTGTGTGTGTGTGTGTGTGTGTGTGTGTGTGTGTGTGTGTGTGTAGGTTACCTTTGATCTGCTCCTCTGACTCCACATCACATTTCATGAACAGAGTTTTTGCTCCATACGTTTTTTTCAGTGACTCCATTAAAGTCTCCCCTGCGGTCTCATTTATGTCTAAGAGGGCGACCTGTACAGGTGAGACATGGATCAGTATCATAAGAGACCAAATCCTACAATTAGTCAGTGATGGAGTGTACCGACTGTACTGAAGTACATAATTTCTGTATCTGTACTGTAAGTAATGTTCTGAAGGCCTACTTTTTAATTTCACTCCACTACATTTTCTGAAAAGTTTCAAAAGTTCTACTTTAATTTGCATTTTGTTCAACCCCCATCCCACCCCCACCCCTTGTCCGATGGAGACCTGGCAACACACCCTTGTCCCCGTTTTGCTACTCCCCTCTGGTTTCTACACACACTACACTTTTTTACTTTTACGTACTTTTGAAAAAGCATACTTTAATACTTTTACTTCAGTCAAAAATTAGTGGATACTATCGCTTTTACTTAAGTAAGTATTACACTCTTTTATCTGTACTTTTATTTACTTTAGTAAATGAATCAAGTACTTCTCTGATCTAATCTGATGTTAGCCTAGATCTGGACAAGTGGGGGAGTCGAGGGAGGTGGAGTGTACAGTCGATAAAGACGGCTCTCCCTTGCCCTGCCTACATCTAAAAGGTTATCCAGAGTTATCTCTGTAGTTATGCTGCTATAGGCTTAGACTGCTGGTGGGCACACTGATCACTTTCCACTCACTTTCTTCTACAATCTGCTCTTTAACTGCATTATTTCTTGCTTTTTCAGCTGTTAATTTTATTTTTTCTCTAAGTGTTTTTCTCCCCAGAAGAAGCTGCAATGTTCTGCTGAGCTGTGGTGGCCTCATGGAGGGGGCCAATGGTCTTGAACACGGTTGCTAACCATTTACAATTATTCTCCCTTTCCTGATAATAACATTTTACTTTTTTGACATTGAATGTGCTACTACTAGTTTACCCGTTTAATTATAGATTCACTAGGATAAATTCAATAACGTTTATCTCTCACTAAATACAATATTTAATAAGACATCACAATGTAGCCATAGATACAGTACTTGGTGTGTGTGTGTACGTGTGCGTGCGTGCATGCGTGCTCTGTCTTCTCGATCCCCAGTGAGTCATGGCGGATGACTTCTTATAATGAGCCAGGATCCTTTGGAGGTTTCATCCTGTTAAAAGGGAGTTTTCCTCTCCACTGTCGCTAAATGCTTCCTTAGTATGAGGATTGCTGTAAAGACACTGACATCAATCAGTGACTTGATGCAATTTGCTGGGTTCCTTAGATAGGAAACGTTTTACTGATTGGCTTAATGAACTAATCTGTATTAGAATGTTTACCATGTGAAGTGCTTTGAGACAACTCTTGTCGTGATTTGGCACTATATAAATAAACTTGAATTTAATTTAATTTAATTCTCCCATGACTGCAATTACTATTCTCCATTTGCAAAAGTTAAGATTCCTTCCAGAAACACACTTCAGAACGTGTAATCAGTTTTAATGATTTCTTAAAAATGTAGAAAACTGAACATAAACATCAAAAGTGCCAGATGAAACAGAAGATATGTCTTTAATGTGAAAAACAAATCCATTAAAGCTATAAAACTGGATCAAAGAGCAGGGGCGTGTCCAGGGAGTGGCCTGGGGTAGCACATGCCACCCTTAGAATCTGATTGGCCACCCCAGGTACCACCCCACTAAGTTCCAGTTTAAATTGACTTTACATTGTCGACAAAAGGCTTGGGTTGTTAACTCCAAAATAGTGTGTGGTTGCATGCACCTTTCACCTTGTTTTCTAGCCCAGGTATGTAGTATTACTATTATTTAATATTTTTTCATATTCACATACATAGTATTTAGAGTCCCTCCTTGAACCGTCACCTTATCGTGGTGGAGGAGTTTGAGTGCCCTAATGATCCTAGGAGCTATGTTGTCTGGGGCACTTAGTGCCCCTGGTAGGGTCTCCCATGACAAATTGGTCTTAGGTGAAGGGTGAGACAAAGAACGGTTCGAAGGATCTTTCATGGCGGTTAAAACGAAGAGTCGGAGTACCCGGCCCGGAGGGTTACCGGGGTCCCACCCTGGAGCCAGGCCTGGGGTTGGGGCCCGTGAGCGAGCGCCTGGTGGCCGGGCTTTCGCCCATGGGGCCCGGCCGGGCCCAGCCCGAACCGGATACATGGGCTCATCCAACTGTGGACCCACCACCCGCAGGAGGAACATGAAGGGTCCGGTGCAATGTGAATCGGGTGGCAGACCAAGGCGGGAGCCTTGGCGGTCCAATCCCCGGACAAGAAAACTAGTTTTTGGGACATGGAACGTCACCTCGCTGGCGGGGAAGGAGCCGGAGCTTGTGGCAGAGGTTGAGCGGTACCGGCTAGATATAGTCGGACTCACCTCGACACATTGCATTGGCTCTGGAACCCGAGACCTGGAGAGGGGTTGGACACTCTACTTTGCTGGAGTTGCTCCGGGTGAGAGGCGGAGGGCTGGGGTTGGCTTTTTGTTAGCCCCGAGACTCTCTGCCTGTGTGTTGGGGTTTACCCCGGGGGACAAGAGGGTAGCTTCCTTGCGCCTTCGGGTCGGGGAACGGGTCCTGACTGTTGTTTGTGCTTATGGGCCAAATATCAGTTCAGAGTACCCACCCTTTTTGGAGTCCCTGGGACGAGTGCTAGATAGTGCTCCATCAGGGGACTCCATTGTCCTGCTGGGGGTCTTCAATGCTCACGTGGGCAATGACAGCATGACCTGGAGGGGTGTGATTGGGAGGAACGGCCCACCTAATCTGAACTCGAGCGGTGTTTTGTTATTGGACTTCTGTGCAAGCCGCAGTTTGGCCATAACGAACACCATGTTCAAACATAAGGATGCCCACCGGTACACTTGGTACCAGGGCAGCCTAGGTCACAGGTCGATGATAGATTTTGTAGTCGTATCATCTGACCTGCGGCCGTATGTTTTGGACACCCGAGTGAAGAGAGGGGCGGAGCTGTCAACTGATCACCACCTGGTGGTGAGTTGGATCAGATGGCAAGGGAACATGCCGCGTAGACCTGGCAGACCCAAACGCATAGTGAGGGTCTGCTGGGAACGCCTGGCAGAAGAACCTGTCAAGATGGTCTTCAACTCCCACCTCCGGCAGAGCTTTGACCACGTCCCGAGAGCAGTGGGGGACATTGAGTCCGAGTGGGCCTTGTTCCACTCTGCGATTGTCGAGGCGGCTGTTGCTAGCTGTGGTCGTAAGGTGGCCGGTGCCAGTCGTGGTGGCAACCCCCGTACCCGCTGGTGGACACCAGAGGTTCGGGGAGCCGTAAAGCTGAAGAAGGAGGCCTACAGGGCGTGGCTGGTCAGTGGGTCTCCGGAGGCAGCAGACAGGTACCGGATAGCCAAGCGGGGTGCAGCAGTGGCAGTTGCCGAGGCAAAATCTCGGGCGTGGGAGGAGTTTGGTGAGGCCATGGAGAAAGACTATCGATCGGCTCCAAAGAGGTTCTGGCAAACTGTCCGGCGCCTCAGGAGAGGAAGGCAGCAACTCGCTCACACTGTTTACAGTGGGGATGGGGAGCTGCTGACGTCAACTGAGGCTATAGTCGGACGGTGGAAGGAATACTTTGAGGAGCTCCTCAATCCCACCAATGCGCATTCCGAGGAGGAACCAGAGCTGGGAGGCCTGGGGATGGACTGTCCAATCTCGGGGGCAGAAGTTGCTGAGGTAGTCAAACAACTTCACAGCGGCGGAGCCCCGGGGGCGGATGAGGTTCGTCCTGGGTATCTCAAGGCTATGGATGTTGTAGGGCTGTCATGGTTGACACGTCTCTACAACATTGCGTGGTCATCGGGGGCAGTTCCTAGGGAGTGGCAGACCGGGGTGGTGGTCCCCATCTTTAAGAAGGGTGACCTGAGGGTGTGTTCCAACTATAGGGGGATCACACTCCTCAGCCTCCCTGGAAAGTTCTACTCCAAGGTACTGGAGAGGAGGGTCCAATCGATAGTTGAATCTCAGATAGAGGAGGAGCAATGTGGTTTTCGTCCTGGCCGTGGAACTGTGGACCAGCTCTATACCCTTGCAAGGGTGATGGAGGGGGCATGGGAGTTTGCCCGACCAATCCACATGTGCTTTGTGGATTTGGAGAAGGCTTATGACCGTGTCCCCAGGGGCACCCTGTGGGGGACGCTCCAGGAGTATGGGGTGGGTGGCTTTCTGTTAAGGGCCATTCAGTCCCTTTACCAGAGGAGCGTGAGTTTGGTCCGCATAGGCGGTAGTAAGTCGGACCTGTTCCCAGTGAGGGTTGGACTCCGCCAGGGCTGCCCTTTGTCACCGGTTCTGTTCATCACTTTTATGGACAGAATTTCTAGACGCAGCGGTGGTGTGGAGTGTGTCGAGTTTGGTGGCAGGAGAATCTCGTCTCTGCTTTTTGCGGATGATGTGGTCCTCCTAGCTTCATCCAACTCTGACCTTCAGCTCTTGCTGGGTAGGTTCGCGGCCGAATGTGAAGCGGCTGGGATGAGGATCAGCACCTCCAAATCTGAGACCATGGTTCTCGACCGGAAAAGGGTGGCTTGCCACCTCCGGGTCGGGGGAGAGGTCCTACCTCAAGTGGAGGAGTTTAAGTATCTCGGGGTCTTGTTCACGAGTGAGGGTAGGAGGGATCGGGAGATCGACAGGCGGATTGGTTCGGCGTCTGCAGTGATGCGGACGCTGAGCCGATCTGTCGTGGGGAAGAGGGAGCTGAGCCAGAAAGCCAGGCTCTCGATTTACCGGTCGATCTACGTCCCAATCCTCACCTATAGTCATGAGCTTTGGGTAATGACCGAAAGAACGAGATCGCGGATACAAGCGGCCGAAATGAGTTTCCTCCGTAGGGTGGCCGGGCTCAGCCTTAGAGATAGGGTGAGGAGCTCGGACATTCGGGAGGGACTCGGAGTAGAACCGCTGCTCCTCCGGATCGAAAGGAGCCAGTTGAGGTGGTTTGGGCATCTGGCCAGGATGCCTCCTGGACGCCTCCCCGGGGAGGTGTTTCGGGCATGTCCTGCCGGCAGAAGGCCCCCGGGTCGACCCAGGACACGTTGGAGAGGTTACATCTCCAATCTGGTCCGGGAACGCCTTGGGGTCCTGCCGGAGGAGCTGGTGGACAAGGCCGGGGAGAGGACGGCCTGGAGCTCCCTAGTTGGGATGCTGCCCCCGCGACCCGGACCCGGATAAGCGGAGGAAGACGAGACGAGACGACGAGTATTTAGAGTCCCAATCAACTCCAGTTGGTGGCAGTGATGCAACAAGAAGTGACTTGCTAACCACCACAAAAGTAGAAGATGAAGAGGAAAAGAAAATGGTGATTGTGCAATGTGAAACTCAAAAATTAATTAGAAAGTAAGTAAATAAATAAATAAACGATTTGTGTAAATAAATAAATAAGCATAACCATTGGTGCCACCCATGAATAAACAAGTGCCCCACTTGGGCCACCCCATTTTAAAAGTCCTGGACACGGCTCTGTCAAAGAGACTCTTGGTCTTCTGCAGTGGTGTACAATCCTGAGAGCCACTATCCTGTATTGCTTAGATGTTTATCTGCCCAAAACATCTGATTTAATCATTGATTTGAAGTTCTGCAGAAATCTGTTATTGACTTGTTGGATTTACCCAAACTTGCTGGAGGAGGGAAACATCTTTATATCTTTAGTTTTTGTTTATTTTTATAGATAAAAACAAGACAAAAAAATTCCAGACAACGTTCTAAAATCTCTCTAAAGATAAGTAAAGCAGAAAAACTGGAAATGCTGATCTTGATGGGGAGGAAACTGAAGCATTTCAGAACTGTTGCTTAAGAGACTTAAAAAAAAGATCCAAACCTTCATGTTTTTGTTACGGATTCTGCATTTTACAAACAGCTCATTAAAGTCTGCTTTCAGACAACTTGTAGTGTTGACAGTGGTGGCAGAATAGTTTTTGCAAATTTTACAGCTTAATTAAAGGGCAGCGTATTTCAAAATGAGCCAGTGCATGTAAACATACCGTATGCATAAGACAATTTTTTTGGTAGACACAGACAGAATTGTTTGTGTGTACGGCAAAAAGTCAGTTTCTGTCAAAAAGTCCCCAAAAATGTGTTATTTTCCTGTGCCCCTTTCTGTGGCCTCTGCTGTAACAGGAGCCTGTGATTAAACCCAAACATCTGGGATGAAGAACAACTGTACCTTGGCTCCATTCTGCAGAAGAATCACCGTCATGGCTTTCCCTATGCCCATGGCTGCTCCCGTCACCACCGCAGTTTTACCTTCCAGAGCCATTTCAGCTGCAGCTACAACAAAACACAGGATGACAAGTTAAGGAAGTCTGCAGGAAATCTGAAGTGCTGATTCCAGAGAGGTCGGGTTTTAACTGTTGATGCTCACAGCTGTGGCCGCCCTCGGCCGTAACCGCCCACAGCGTCACACACGGGTTCAAACATGCTGGTGGATGGGACAGAGACAATTGTCTCACCTGGAAATTTCTTCACAGTCTGTAAAAAACATACTCAAATAATCATTTCAAGCTAATAAGTAGCTCTAACCTGCTTGAAGGGACATTTACTGGAGTTGCATTGATTGAAGCTTTAAGGTGTTTTTCAAGGTCAAATTCCAAGATGTGGCCCCAGATCCTAAACTTTAACCAGAACTGTTTGGAAGCTAACTCCAAACAAGTGATCCTCCAAGTCCAGTCAGATGGGAGACTGATCCCTTAGTGCCCCTTCCTGCTACGTTTATGACCTGTTTGGGTAAATCAGTACGGAATAAAGTTGCCAGCAATAAAGATCTACTGATTAACATGTGTGCTTGTTGGTCAGAGGTTGTGTATGACTAGAAATGTGTGAACTGTTAGAGCTGGTAGAAGAGAATGTCTCTATTAAACAACATTGTTAAACCACTTCTTTCATTTGATTAACTCAATAAATAATTGTGTCTAAAAAACGGAAAGCACACTACTAAAGGTCTAGTTCACTTGTTTGGTCTATTTTCAGTAGTTTCTAGTAGGAATGAGTGCCTTGTAAGTCACACTCGGGGAGGGGGATAACTCAGCATGTTGGGTTGTGAGGGGAAATGATGACTACATTGAGGATAAATAACTCATCCCTAATCATGTTCAAACACATACTTTGAATTAGTTCCAGTGTCGCGCCTGCTGCCTCTTGGTATTCCCAGTTCAGTAAATAAAATGACCCAATCAGTGCTTCAGCAAAGGTGTTGTCTTTGTCCAGTTCAATGATTACACATCCTTCTGCGCTCACCATCCAGCAGGGGGCAGTCAAAACCCTCACCTAAATTGATAAAAGCAACACTTTTTCATTCTGCAACATAGTCATTACAAAACCTTTTCCATGTTAGTTATTCTTTATTACCAGTAGCTAAGTAGCGGGGTACCTGCAGTGACTATGGATCAGTGAAAGAACCATCAGCCTGCAACACAGAGGTTGTGAGAAATTCTGTTCTGAAATATTCGGTTTCCCCTAAGCTTTGGCAAATCAACAGCAAATATTTCCAGATTCGCAAGACTTATTGATCTTTATGAGGGGACTAAACAACTCCATTTGTGCTGGAAAAGAGTTCTTTGTGGCTGATCAGGATAAGATGAACATCTGACACAAGTTGGAAAAGACAAGATTTTAAAAAACAAAGAACTGCAAAAAACAAACCTAACAACTCAAAAATGTTCTCTACCGTACTTTTAAAATTGTTTTTAGAAAGAAATGTAGATGAAAAAAATCAAGATCACAAGCATGACATTATTATATTTAGTCATTTTACAGAAAAGGTTATTTCTGGGAAACTGAATTTTTCATAATGGATTCAGTTCCAGCTTCCTACCTACCAGGAAACAATGACTGCAAAAATAACAGCTCTTTGAGCACGCTAATGTACAACAGTTGCAGCTGGAAATAAATTGCCTTTTTGTCAGGTAAAATATTTTTTGGGAAAATTAACCTATATGCAGGCCCTGTCCCAATTCTTACACTTCCACCCTTGGGCCCCTCAACTGCATGTTCCCATCCAGGGTTGCGAGATGCGCACTTACACGATGTGAGTCGTGCAAGTTTTGTCGAGCATTATGCGTGTCCTCGTGGACAGGACGTGTGTTTTTTACGGTTGCTTTTTTGTCACCTTTGTCCTTCCATACTTAGGGTGTCCCAATTCTGAGTTGCGGATTTGGCTACTAATGAGACTGCTGAACTCTGTAGGATCTTTGTAGCCCCTAGTTTAATTTTTATGAAGGCGAGGTTTAACTTGTATTTATTACTACTTTATTGTGTCTTTGCCCTGTAACCAGGACCAGGGAAACAAATTTCATTCCTCCTGTTGTTTGACATATGTTGTTGAAATGACAAATAAATAATCCTTGAATTCTTCTCCTCTGCAGTAAGAGCATCTGGCCACTAGAAGACAGCAGATTGCTATATTTTTATTTTTTTGGTTCAGTTTGGACTAACTAGTCTGTTTCCCGTTATAATGATTCATCTTCTTTCTTTTCTGTGTGATTTATTTGATAAACGTTATAACCAAGTTGTTTGAAGACATCAAAGAAATTATGCTGTACTTGGAGTTGTAGTCAAGACTGCACCACCAGAAACCAAGACATTATCAGAGACCAAAAGGGTCAGACTACAGTGAAGACCAGCACAGGCTCACACAACTGGTCACAAGTACAGGCCACTTCCTGGCGCCAGCATGACAGTCCAACACGAGATGTGCCTTCTCACATGTGAGTGTCCCTCACCTCAATGGTTTTATTCTTTCCCCCAGTTCAAGACTTTTCTCTTTTGCTTTTCCATTTATTTGGCAACTCCTTGTGTTCTCTCAGCTCCCTTACTTTCCTTTAATTGGTATTAGAATTGTTTTGTTCAGCTTTTGAGTTGCGACCACGAACCCTAGTTAGGCTTGGTTTAGTCTTCATTGCCTCTACTTTTCTCTTGTATGTATTTCTGTTCACATATTTTTTTTTTTATTCAGATTGTAACATTTTTTTTTAATGCAATTTGGATCACCTTCAAAGCTCAATCCCACACCCAGGGCCGTTTCAAGGCATTTTGGGGGCCAAGGCCAAAATAGAACACCCCACCCCTGTCTCATTGGGCTCCACTGGGATCTTCTGTGTAATTGCCACCCTGAAAACATCATCTCATAAAAACACAACAGAGGAATAACTTCATTTATTTATTTAACTTATCTAATTGATTCAGAAAAACAGAGCTTTTTAAGTGAGTGTAAGTGATTCTGTAAAAATGAAAACAAAGAAAACATTAAAGATGCACTAGGTAACCATTTCAACTGTTTAAATCATTTGCCTGAGCCAGTAGGTGCTAAAATACCATACCATGCCATTTTATCTATAAAATCGCTTTCAACAAGGCATGACAACCAACTAAAGCACTGTACAAAATAAAAGAACAAAAGCACAAAATAGTTGAGTCATAAAATCAATTAAAAATGATACAACAAAGAAGGGTTCCAAACAAAAACAATAAAAACATTAAAAGTAATCAGACCACAGATTTAAGATGGGAAAACCACTATGGAAGGAGGTACGACTAATTGTTGATGCTAAGAATCGAAGGCCATGGAGACGTAATGCGTTTTCAACCTCAATTTAAAGATGGGAAGCAATGGTGCTTGTCTAACCGGAAGAGGCAGTGAATTCCAAAGTTTTGCGGCACAGATACAAAATGCCCTTTCCCCGCGAGTCCTCAAACGTGCCTTAGGGACAGTGAGGAGGAGTATATCTGCAGACCTAAGAGCACGAGAAGGGTGGTAGAAATGGATGAGTTACCTTAGACAGGGAGGGGCCTGACTGTTCAAACATTTGAATAGAGCTCCGGGAGTAGACGTCACTTCTCCCGGCATGCAAGAGTTCAAATCGAAACGGCGCCATATTGGCAGGCAGAAGCCCGCAGTTGGACTATTTGCTATTGTCAGAAAACTCAGTCAAATGGGAAATATGGTAGATTCCTGTTGTGCCCTAGGATGCCAGAACAGACACGGACGACATAAGGGATGAGCCATCTACAGGATTCCCCAAGATCTGGAGCACCGCAAACGTTGGATCATTGTAATAAAACGCGCTAGTGACCGGGCTAAAATGAAACTGTGGGATCCCGAGGGTAAAGGTTTTCGCTTATGCAGCGACCACTTCTATCAGGTACTTAAACCAACGTTTCCTCAACTGTGTATGGTGTTTATTTTAAATGCTTTTATTACGTTTCTTAGTGGGCTTCCTAAACTTATTTTGGCGTGGCTTTTTCGGTCTTATTACTCATAGCAACAAGTAAACGTCACATAAAACGTTGCCTCGTGATTTCTGCGTGCTGCCGTTTCCGTGTTTTATGATCACAGCAATTAACCGGCTAAGCTGTATTTAATTTTTAAGCAATGGTTGATCAATTGCCAGATCACACATAAAAAGCACTTTGGATTGCTATTATCTGTCTCACCGAGACAGATCTCAGACAGATCCTGAGACGCTCCTGCCTGACATATTTATTTTATTCACGGAAAAAAATCAGACTAGTGATTTCTCTTGGCATTCAGTTTATACATTCAAACAGCACAGCACTCTACTTCTTACATGTAAATCTATGTTATTTGTCCATCCGCTTATCCGGAGTCGGGTTGCGGGGGCAGTAGCCTTGGTCGAGAGGCCCAGACTTCCCTCTCCCCAGCCACTTGGGCCAGCTCCTCCAGGGATATCCCAAGGCGTTCCCTGGCCAGTTCCGGTAAGAAGTCCGCTCGGACAGCTTCTGGCGTTTTAAAACGTATCCCAGGGCCACGGTAAGGGTCAGAGATGTTTACTCTATTTAATTTCTGACTTTATAAAACGATTTCTTCGGGTTTAAAGTGTGAAGTAAATTCCCGACAAAGTAAAATCCGATCCCGTTCATTTTGTTTACCTTTGTTGCCTGCCAGCATGGCTTCTACTCTCTGAGAGTCACGTGACGTCCGGAGCTCTATACAAGTAGCATGATTGTGAAGTTAATCCTGAACTGAATGGGCAGCCAATGCAGTGTTTTCAGAATGGGTGTGATGTGCTGTCTTCTGTCAGCTCCAGTCATAAACCGTGCTGCCGAATTCTGGACGAGCTGAAGTCTGGACAGAGCAGCTTTGCTGATACCGTATAAACAGGAGTTGGAGTAGTCTAGCCGGGATGTGATGAAGGCGTGAATCACTGACTCTGGAAAACGGACACTCAGGATGGGATTTAATTTAAAAATTCGCTTAAGCTGGTAGAAACAGGACTTGATTGACCCTATCCAGGGTGAATGAATGCTCGCTCAGCCGACTCCACTCTGTGGACATGCAGAATACCGCAGTCAGAACTTGAGCACATATCGCAAAGTCACGTATCTCACGGGAATCAGTAACACTTTACAGCAATCCATGTTCACACATCAGAAAAATGAGCCAACTCCACCTACGCACACACACATACACACACCTGTCACCAATCATCTACTCATCCTTCAACCTACCGAAGTGCTTTCCTCTCACCTGTCAAACGCTCAGTCATTGACACTTTCTCTGTCCGAGCTCCTCGTATCCTCACACACCACCGATTTCTTGCATATGAGTCTTGAAACTCTCATCACCACACAGAAAAACAGTAAAACCATCTTTGTTTTCAGTCTCGCTGAAGCTAGCCACTCTGCCAGCCGTTCCTGTCGCAGCTGCTTGTAGCTTCTATCGAGTAA